ATGTTCTGTCCTGGCTCAGAGCCCTCACTCCAGGTTGCCATGGCTGGCAGCGCGTTGGTCATAGCAATTCCGGTGGACAGGGCCGCCGTCTCCATGACGCGCAGCTGCTGCTGTGGTCCCTCGACGGTCCGGGCAGGCGCCTGCACAAAGGTGCTTGAATTGAGGAGCATCACCAAGGCGACGCACAGAGACACCGGCAGCAAGACGGGACGAGCCATTGTGGGACGGCTAGGCGCACGAATGTATCTTTGACCTTTGTACTAAAAATTGCTGCGATGCAGAGGGAGAACAATTCCTCAGGCCAATCTTGCATCTGGGCATACACGTCACAACTTCAGCCTGTGGCTCATCCACAAGAGAAGAGAAGGCAAGATGCAAACTCTAGCAATGCCAATTATCCGGAAATGGACCTGCAGCCATTGTCAGCGACTCACCCGACAGGTCCACTTGCAGTGTGCTCCCAAGGTCAGCGTGAGAGATCCTCAAGTGCAAAGCGCAGCATGATGTGGTTTACCTTTCCAATCAAAATTCTGTTGGCATTGTAAGAAGGTGAGTCTGGAACTTTACGTGCCAATATGCGTCAGGTCTCCAGGTTAAGTGCGCTTCTGAAATTCTTCCATCAGCAAGTTGTTCATCCGGTCAGAAGTGGAGCCCAGCATCTGCATCTTAGCAAGGTAAGGCGCCAGCGGCACAGGTGCCTGCCTCACCAGCCGCCAAGGTGGGCTGGAACCTTATTCCAGCTGTGTCGTACTGGGAGGACATTACTTTCAAACTCAAGCATCACCGCGCTTCCTTAGCCTATAGATCGCACGAACACACGCAAGGTCCTGTCAGCCTATCCTCCTGATCTTGTTCTGCTGCCAGCTGCTACCAGTACCCTCAGTAGCTGCATCATAAATATGACCTGTGTTTTAGAATTCTTCCTGCAGCACCAACTACAATGATCTGCTGAAACTTAAGGCATAACAGAGCAGCGGTCGGGAATGGGCTTTGGAGTGCGAAGGCCATGCCGCCAAACCTCAACCCAACAAACAGGGCAATCTGCGCTGGAAGCGAAACTACCCAGACATCAGCCCTGTCTGCCTGAAGCCAAATCGGCGGCGGGCCCAGAGCCTGAAAAACCAGAAACACGAAGAGGAGGATTGGTCTCTCTCTGCGGCTTGTGCTTCTCTACCAACGCCCCAGAATTCCCTCATGCCCGGCCGCTGAACCAGATTAGACTCAAAAAGTTTCAGCTACGGGCGGAAGTGTTTGTGTGCACTGTGGCGTTGGGTCGAGGCGCAAAAGGACGAAGCCCCCTGGGATGCCTGAAACAGCCCGAAAGCACGCCTTACGCCTTGAGCTTGCTGTTGCACCGCTTGTAGAGACAATTAACGATTCTGCCAAGCTTGGGAACCTCAAGCTGAGTGGAGCTTATTCCAACTGATGTGAGACTTGTGCAAGATGTTGCACCAAAAGTGCGCAACGCTAAAAAATGATCATGCAGCAAAGTGGACGTCGACAAACCCTTTGCTGTAAAAACGCTTCACTTGTTGGCCCACCCCTCGGCCCATCACATTCGCACAGCCGAAGCATACGTGCCAATGCCTGCAAGCCCTTCTCCAAAGCAGCTGCCGTCCATTCCACCTGACCCGGCTCGAGGCTTGAAACTCTGCGAAGGCGCTTAATTAACCGCCCACAACATGGAGCAGGCCTGAGCACCTGGATCAAGAAAGATTTCCGCGGCTTCCACGTGTCCTGCTAAGTTTGGCAAGGCACAAGCAAGGGGGGTTTTAGTGCCAGCTAGGAACTTGTGCAATGTGAGTCTGCCGGCGAGGGGAGCCTTATCTGCAATACAAGACGAGAATGCGCAATGCAGCGGGATGAGATTTTAGTGTGCTGTATAGCAATACATGTTGCTCTCTCATGATTTTAGAGCCCTGCATTGTGTTCTATAACGTACATAGACATAGACATCATATGTTGTCTTCTATACATGTGTGATTGATGGGCGGACGGTTGCATTGATGGTAGACCCCTCCCAATCTCCTGAAACAATGTCTCCAATGCAAATATCATGGTTCACAAGTTCTTGCATGGTCGATTTTCAGTGATCCACGTGGGAAATGAGGACTTGTTCTGGATCTCTGGATCGGGATGTGCGCATCCCCTTATTCCGGACCAACCATATTGAGCGGTAACCAAATAGCTCTGGACGTTGACTCGACACGATGTACACTGTGTCTGATAGCTGCCTATGCTTCCAGTGGAATGTATGGTGACTGCCCGCCTGAAACAGCCGTGCATAAACCAAAGTCAATCACGGTCAGATGTGAAACCTTGGCTGCGCCCAAGCAATCAGGAGCAACACGTCCTCGGCAAGAGGCGAGGAAAACAGCAACTGTTTTTAATTAGCACCTTCTTGCAAGACTGCAACATCCAACTTAGTGAGGAGCGCAAAGCTGCAAGTGACATTCTGACATACACATCCTGCAGGGTAAGGCGCACTGTCAACGTGCGGCAGCGAACCTGGTGTTGCTCCAAGCCACCGTTCGCCTACAAACTGTGTTGATGGATGGCCATGTGAACAACAACAACAACAACAACTACTACTACTACTACTACTACTGCTCCTGCTGCTGCTGCTGCTGGTACTACTACTTGGCTAGCGCATCTCAGGGCGCCTGGGCCTTAAACTGGCCTGAACCCTCGGTAGCAGGGGGATTCGGTTTTTTTGCTAAAGGTGAAATCATGGAATTTGAGCGAATTAATTTTGAGAGTCTGATTTGCCAGATT